GTGATGTAGATAGATAGATAGATAGATAGATAGATAGATAGATAGATAGATAGATAGATAGATAGTATAGATAGATAGATAGATAGATAGATAGATAGATAGATAGATAGATAGATAGATAGATAGATAGATAGATAGATAGATAGATAGATAGCCCAGCATATCTTGGTCAATGCTAGTGTCAGCTCCAAGCCATTTGTTCTCATTCTGCCTTTGTCTGTGAGATTAAAGCAACCTTGTATCTCAAAAATCTCCTCCTGGAAGGGATACTTAGAGACCGGGATCAAGTCATCATAGGTCTGAGCTGGGGTGGGGGTGGATGGATTCTGGGCTAGATGGGCCCAGGGGTTTCATCTTATGTGATTGGGGACAGTCCCCCTTTATCCTCCGCTTGATGTTCTTCCTCCCCGTTCCTCAGGAGTTCATTATCTCTGCAGCATGTCAGTCAATGTCAAAGTCACACTGCGTGAAATCCTGAGTGATCTGAGTGAGGAAAACTTCAAAGCATTCAAATGGTATCTGGTGAATGGAGTTGATGACAAGACAATAAGCTATTGCAATTTGGAATTAGCCGACCGGGAAAAGACCATCGACGAGACGCTGAGCCACTTCGGCAGCTCTGGTGCAGTGGAAAAAACCAGGGAGATCCTGGAAGCCGTACCTAGGAGAGATCTCGCCGACAAGCTCATGAAGAAAATCAAAGTCACACTACATGAAATCGTGGATGAGCTGAGAGAGCTCAGGAACGCCGTAACCCGCCATGATTTGAAAACGGAAGTCGAGGCGTCTCCGCTGAGCTGAGCTGTGACTCACGGGGTGTTCTAAGAAAGGCCGGACCAGGCGTCCGTCTCATCCGGTCTCTGACCGTTCCAGTGTCCATTCTCAGAGGAAAGCAAAATCTCCCCCTTTCCCTCGACTTAAATTAAATCAAGGCAGCTGCCTTCAAGCCAAAATAAGTTTCCACGTGATTTCTTTAAACCAGTGCAAGTTTTATCTCTGTGCGGCTCCTTCCTGACGGCTTCTTTGTCTCTTCAGTGTCACGCTTACTCCCAGGCCGTCTTCCGAGCTAAGTTGCCTCTTTTTTCTTCCAGTCCCTTCTTAACACCCACTTCTTTCCCGACACCCCTCTCCCATGCTGGCGGTATCCCTCACCAGCTGGTGTCTGGTCGGTAACGCCGCCTGGTTTTGTTTGTCTACGTGAGCTTGTCAGCTCCTTGTGACTAGATCCTTGTCTTGTGTCTCTCTACAGTGCTGGGTACATTTGTGGGGCATCGTAAACATGTCCTTGGTCCTGGTGTAACTTTAAGTCTTGGCAATTGGGATAATACTTAGAGAAATGAAAGCCGTACAGGTGGGTCGGGATCACAAAGGCATCAGGTCAGACGTATTCCCCTCTGATCCAAGTTATACTTTTGGTATAACTCACAAATCTGAGGGCTGGGCGTGGCTGTTTTAGGAGGGGAAACCTACTGACAAAGCAAACACACGAAGGTCAACGGAGATCAGTCTCCCTGCCACAGGAAGTCCTGCTTCTGCACAGATATAACACTGAGCGCGGCTTATTTCCAGGTTTTGAGCAGAGCCCGGCACACAACGCGAAGCGTTTTGAACAGCCCCCTTGCATGCTAGTTTCACTAGCTATAGAAGAAGAAGCTGCTCTTTTGAACTCACCAAGCAGCGTGCCGCACTGCTCAGGTAAGGAGACTGCGAAGGCAGAAACCGGCTCCTGGGAGAGGGAAACTTTCGCCCTAGACAGTCAGTTCATTGCCCCAAATCCATCCGTGTTCAAGGCTTTGAGTGGAGTGAGGTGTTGCTGAGGGAGGGGAGGTTTTTTGCAACCAGGAGCCGCTAACAGGGAGTTTCAAGAGGGAGTTTGGAAGGGGAGTGGGAAGGGGGCGAGGTACAATTGCCATCCTTTAAAACCTTTAAACTAAACTCAAATCAAAACGTCTTGATTTAAACAAAACCCTGTCATTAACGAGGTAGCTGCAGGAGACGATGCAGGAGAAGCCCAGCTGCAGAGTGGGGGCTACCCAGTTTATTGCGCTGAGTGCAGCATGTAGCCTCGGGCGCGAAATTTCCTTGCACCGGCCCTGAGTACGGCCATTCTTATGTTCTTATGAGGTGGGAGCCCGGTGCGGAGGGGGTTGCAGAAGGGGAATTAACCAGCGTGATGCAATGGTTCACTAGGGTGAAACAGAAGCAAGGAGAAATTGGGGGTCTAGCAGGGGTGCTGTTTAGTGACGGGGGCACCTGTGCCCCAATAATGGGTGGAGATTGGGGGGGTGTTGCCCCTCCAAACTGGAAATGTCACAGAGGTGACACTCCCCCCGCCACCTGATCTCTACCTTCCCTTTGGTCCTGCTCCCTCCCCCAGCCCCACCATGCTCCCTAGGGGCCTTGGGCCATCCAGACCCCCTGGGGGGCACAGAGGAACGTTCGGGGGGGGAGCGGCAGTGCCAGGCATTCTGTGGGTCCAGATCCATCTCCCCACGTGGGCTGGGTAACTGCCACCATGACGTCCAGGCTCAGGCAGGTCGTGCCCTCGGTGCCCAGAAACCAGCGGGTGCTGGGGCCAGGGGGAAGGTGTCGGGTGACCTGGCCCAGCCCGGCGCAGACACGACCACAAGGAGCAGAGCTGCCCCCACGGTGCCAACTAGGGACTGAGCCCAGGGCCTGGCCCCACAACAGCCCCACCTCCAACACGGTCCCTGCCTGCACCCTGAGCTACCCCCACCCCCGCGCCTACACACAGCTCCTA